CCCCCCCCCCCCCCCCCCAGTCTGTGCATTTCTAAAGGAGCCCAAGCTCTCTTAGTAATGACAATAGCCAGCATGCATTTACAAAGTGCTCACGGGATGCTCCAGTGAGGCAGGGCCCTTAACTTCTACAGACAAGGAAATTAAGGCTAACAGAGGCTTAGTGACTTTCCCAGGGACACACAGTTCACAAGTAACTGAGGCAGGAATGGAACTCAGATCCTCCAGCTGCTACGGCCTACTCTCTCTCTTTTGGGCCAATTAGCTGCTAATGCTATAAGAATCGTGTGAGCATTGGTTACCTGTTATATATCTGAAATACAGATCGTTATTTTCATCTTCTCTGAGTCATCCATGTTAAAGTAAATGCTTTAAGATATTTTAAAAATAGAAATAATGGTTTTATTTCTGCTAGAAATTGTTAGTCAACTATTCTACAGTTAGTCATGACTACATCATAATGATGAAAACTCTGGTCTTCAAAGGAAAAATTACAGTCACTTCATATTTCTAGTTTGGAGACACAGGAAATTAAAAGAACAAGGACTAATCCAGAGGACTGAGGAGCGAAGTCTCATCGTCCCTAAAAGCAGAACGATTCCTTTATCGAAAGCTGATTGGAAGCCCAAATGGCCATGAACTGGATAACCCTTGTGAACACTATCACAGTCCCCAGGAGGAAAGGCTTAGCAGAAGACTCAGCGTCTTCACTGACTTACGTCCGGACTTTGTGTCGGCCAATGATGAAGGAAACTTTCCGGCTCCATGGGTTCACAAAGCTGGACCAGCTGGAATCCAATATGACATAATCGCCATTCTGAGTGCAAAATCTAACAGGTGAATGTTCAAAGGGAGGTTGGCCTGCATACTTCAAGACTACAAAAAGCAGCAAAATGGAAGCACAATTAGTATAACATAAAAACACTGGTCAAGAAAAAGCATTTATGCATCTATTCTGAAGTTACTGATTTCCTTCTTGGGTTTTCTAGTAAACTGCTTTTAAAAATACAACGAAAAAGGATTTAAAATCTTTCTTCTTTTTACATAAGATTTATTTAGTATTGTTCTTAAAAAATTCCCTAGTGTTCAATAAATTCCAAAACCTAAATTACCTAGGAAAGAGCTCTCTATTCAATAAGAATTGCTGGGAAAATTATAAAGCAGTCTAGCAGAAATTATGTTTAGGTCAGTATCTAACACCATATACCATAACAAATTCAAAATGGTAAGTGACCTAAATATAAAAAAATCACACCATTAAATAATAATGATTAATAATCATATACCTTTGCAAACTATGGCTGAAGGGTGAATTTGTAACCTAATAAAGGACAGAAGGGATTGCATAAGATAAGACAGGTAATTCTGATTATGAAACTGAAAATAATAATGATAATAGCTAACATTTACATAGTGCCGACTGTGTGCCAGGCACTGTGCTAAGCACTTCACAAATATCTCATTTGATCCTCACAAAAACTCTGACAGGTAAGGGCTATTTTTAGTCTCCATTTTATAGATAAAGAAACTGAAACAGTTCCAGGTCAAGTGACTGACCCAGGGTCACACAGAAGTATCTCATGCTAGATTTGAACTCAGGTCTTCCTGACTCCAGGTCCAGCATTCTATCTCCTATGCCACCTAACTGTCTCCCCACCCCCGGAGGGATAAGATGATTGAAATTAAGGTAGAAGTGACTGGGGAAAAAAATCTGCAAACAACCACATGAAACAATGTTCCAAATCACTAATCATAAAAGAAATGCAAAAATCAAAACAACTCGGAGGTCTCTCCTCACATTCAGCAAATGAGCAAAAATAACAAAAGATGGGGAGAATCAATGTTGGGGCAGCTGCGCAAAGGCAGACAAACTAATGCATGGTTGGTGGAATTGTACACTGCTGTTGCTGTTTTGGAAAACAATTTGGAATTATGTAAAGAAAGTGTCTAACAGGCAGGCCCTCATGCTCTGACGCAAGGGTTTCACCACTGGGCATATGTCCTAAGATCAATGTGAAATGAAACCACCACAAACCAACATATTCACTGCACTGATCTCTGCAGTTGCCAAGGACAGGAACAACTAACCAACCACGGAGTGAGGGATTGGTACAGGAATACGGGGTAAATGGAGTACAGGAGAGTAAAATGTGGTAGAGCGGATGTTCCAGAGATGCAGGGGAAGACCTAGAGAAACTGGTGCCAAGTGAAGGAGCAGATGGAGGAAAACAACAGACCCAATCCCTAGAATGACATCCACGGGAAGAATCACCGCCCTGCAATCAATGCTGTGTGCAGACAAATGGGGATCCCAGCTGTCTCGTGGAGAGACGGGAGAAGAGCCCCGCCGCCTCTTTCTTCACAGAAGTGGGAGGGTAGGGGTGGGGAGCACTGCACGAAACATCAGCCTTTTTTGATATTTGGGTTAATTTTGCTGAACTTCTTTCCCTTTCGTTATAAAGGATGGCTCTCTGAGAAGGGAAGAGGGGAGGGATACAATGGGAACACAGGCGATATAAAGACAAGAGATCAACAAAACATATTAAAAATTAGCAGCAGGCTCAAATTGATTCAATACTTTGCTCATCGGGTTGAAACCCAAAGTCTAATGTTCAGACTTATGAGCTGGGGTAATGAAAATAGTAAATGATGTAGAATGCATGGGAGAAAAGCCTTTTCCCATACAGAAACATTCACCTACTTTTTTGGTGCACAGCAAACATCAGAGGACGGTCTTCCGGATGCAGGTACATTAAGACGGAGGTTCCAATCAGGTCCTGAGGAAGGTAGCCTAGCAAAGGCACAGCTCTGGGATTGACATACAGCAACACAGAGGAAAAATCCAAAAATGATAAGATTTGTGAACACTTTCCAACCAAATCTAATTTTGAGTATTCTCCCCCCAAAGGTAATTTCAAGTAGCAAAATGAGTGCACAAAGCTCCTGTCTAGGATGATGGCTGAGAGCTGGGACTTTAAGGGAGCCTCCGAGGAAGACTCTGTAAAAGCTAACTGTACAGAGGTTTCCTGTAGCTATAAAATGAGAGCAACCAGTTTCTGCAGCTACAGTTACTGTCCCCCCAGCAGCTCCCACTGTCAGGCGAAGAAGGAATCTTGCTGTGTGACGGGGGCTACATCATATGGCAAACAGACCAAAACAAAACCCAAGCCTTGGATCCAGGGCAGCCGGTTTCAGCTTCTCTTTCAGATGTGAAGACTTTTTCAGGTCAATCATACTCAACCACCATCCTAACTAACTGGGCAGCTGTGAGGTCCAAAGGGGACGAGCCGGAGCCTTGGGTAAGTCCCTCCTTCTTGCCAGACCTGGCTTTCTCATTTGCAAAGGAGGTAATCTCTGCTCTGCCTACCTGATGGGGCTACTGTCAAGATCAAGTAAGATAACACGGGGCAAGCTCTTTGTAAAGGGGAAAAGACAAAGCATTTTTAGCTAAGATAGTCACTGGAACTAAATTTTTTAAAATGGTAAGATCTAGTTTATCAGACAAAAAAAAAGAGAGACGTAAAACACAGTAAAGTCATGTGCTCCAACAATGTAAATCTCAATCTACTGAATGGGAAGCTGTGTTCAGAAATGCACTTCTCCCTTCTTACAGAAGTACCCACCTTTCATCCACTTCAAGAAACACACACCCTGGGGTATGGGTTGTTGTAAAGATCCTTTTATTCACAGGGATTCGGGGAGCTAGGAAAACACACATTTGAGATCTTCAAAATGCCAATAAATACTCATTAACTACATAGTAAGATATTTTGTGAATTTGTCATCTATCTCAACAATGAGAGCACACATACGCAACACAAATCTCTCTAAAATGAGTGACACAAATTTCACCGGGAAATATGATTTTACATGCTGACAATTTTCATTAAAATCCCATCAACATTTTAATCTACATGATTTTGAAATGGTGGTGGAAGGGGGACGGTTAGACACAGACCCTGTCTTCTAATGCACAAAGTATAAAAATAGATATAAAATGCGACTTAAATTCAAATTTTAGATGTAAAAAGTACAGTGATATTTAAGAATTACAGAGATGTAAAAAGGTATCTAAAGATCACTGGAGAAAACTGGGAAAATTTAAGGAAATAAAAATTTTCTAAAAACACAAAGAATAACCTTCTGAAACGCATAGTAAATAAAATTTGACAATACTACAAAAAGCTTTTTTCTGTATTTGCATTTCCTGACTTGTGTGAATTAAAGTGGTAATGTTAAACAATAGATGCTTATTATGTGGGTTTAGACATAAAGTTTTGTCACTAAAAAATAACTTATACTTTAATCAGAGATCTAAGTACTTTTAAAGTTAACAAAACATTCCCATCTGTACATTCTGAGATCTGTCTCTGGGGAATCTCAGTAGGCAAACTGAAGACCACTGGTGTTCTGCTGCTGCAGTCTTCATTAGATATCCTGTATGGAATTACTGCCTCCAGACATAGGCTTCCCCTTAATATAAAATCATTCTGAAAGGGGGAAAATAACGTGGATGTGTGTGCCACATATATACTTGGGAAGTAAATATGCAAGTATAGGTTGTACTAAGTTTAAGCCAAAATGTGGGGGGAGGGAGGAAGAAGGAGAAGGTGGGATATGGGAGGGCGATGTAAGGTCACTATTCTGCTCTTGTACCCCAATGCTATTTCATGCACACCCCCAAACCATTAGGTCACAGTGACCAACACCCTGAAGAACTTAATCCTCACAACAGAATGTAAACTCCTTGAGGGCAGACAATGGTTTTTCTTTCAGATCCTCCAAACCTAGCACAATGCCAGGCACATTGCAGGCCCTTAGTAAGTGCCAAATGAATGAACTCATTTGACAAGAACTCGCTGTGAAGCACAATCTCTTACTGGCATCGCTTTGCACAAGGGAGCTGAATGATTGAATGGCTTCCAGCAGGCCCCCACCCTGTGCCCCAAATCCCCAGCAGAGATGTGCACGGACAGGACCTGGGCAGATCCCAGGAAAGCAAGGCTGCGGGCTGGCCTGTGCCATGCCTCTTCTCTCGTCCTAGAGTCTGCTTTCAGGGACCAGGGCCTTCACACACCTGTCATACAGGTGCATCGTACCACACACATACACACCCGCACACACGCACACCCACACACACCTAACAGGCTGCTGTCTCTACAAGCTAAATGAACAAAGCATTGACTTGCCTTCATAACCAGAGTGAATCTTCTCGACCAGAGTGAGGCAGCAGGGTTCTGACTCTGTGTCAGCAGAACTGTATACATTGATCACATATGGGGTGATCCGGAATGGATAATAATGGGCTTCCTGTTCTCGGCCTTTACCTCCCCTGAGGAAATTTTACATGATTGATTAATTGATGATGCTACTTAGAATATGGTTGGGCAAAATAGGCAAACTTCTCGCAATCACTTCTCTGAATAGGAAAGGTATAAATGTGTTTCTTTTCAAAAGTAGAAAAGTGTGTTTAATCTTGCCACCATGCCCAAATCATCAGGTCTAATCCCCTTGCTTGAAAGATGAGGAAATTGAGGCAGACAGTGATGAAGACACTTGTGAAGTGTCTGAGACTAGAGTGGAGCCTGGTCCTTTTGACTCCGGGTGCTCTGTTCACTACTCCAATCGCTCTGTGATGGCGAGGTGGGTAGAACCATCTTAAATCTCACCGCCATAACAGAGCTGCCTCACTTTACCTCTCCATCTCCCTAGCATCCAAACTATTGCTTTTGGCCCTTCTCACTTCTGGGACTGCTGCTGCTGCTGCCGTGAACCTACTGTAGGCCTCAGACTACTTTCAGGATTCCATGCACTTGGTACTTTGGGCTCACAAGCATTTCACCACACCCTAAACTGGATCCTTCACTGGCCATCTTACTCTCTAACTCCTCTTCTCCAAGGCCAAGATCTCCTTGTCTTCAACTTCTTTCTATGTGACTCTCCTCCCCTCACCCACCTCCCAGGGGGAGTTTGTGTGGGAGGGGTCCACCCAAGGCTGCTGTACTTACCTGATTCTACAGAAAAAGGGCTTCACTTGAGAATATTCATACTGGGAGGCTGCCAGAAACAAATACAAACAGATTGCAAATGACCACCTCAAAAGAATGCCATCAAAGTTCTTCCTTCTCCTTACCCCATCAATGCTATGGCCCTGCTCCTGTACTGTCAAGAAAACAAAATGACTTTCAGAAAAGTGTACCCATCCTTTAGATAGACCCGTATGTTATATATGATATATAGGATAAACATATGCACTCTTCTCCTGTACGCTGGGGCCTAATCACCTCTAGAATAGCTTCCACTCAGCAGCAACAACTCTGCTTAATTAGACCATGATGGCTTCACACAGCAGCTTGTATATGAACGATGATAAACTAGACCCATTAAAAAGACACTGGAAATAGACAGAACACAAGAATTCTAAGATATTAGAATACTGTCTGCTGTTCCAATCACTGCATTTCAAGCAACGGGAAGATTTGGCAGAGGTCCAGAGAAAGGGAAATCAAGAATTCAAGGAAACACAGAGAATTCTGAATAAGGAGAGGCAAAAAAGTTAGGCCCCTAGTTTGGAAAGGTAAAGGGGCAGGAAGGAGGATGTGACCAAAATTTAGAACACTATAAGCGCTACTGATGAGCATATTTAGACTTGCTCACAGATCCCATTCCTTAAAATCACAATGAGGCAGTGGAAGGATAACAAAAGGAAGAACTACGTTACAAAAGAGGGGCTAGGCTAGGAGATATAAAGAGCTTGCTACCTCAATACACTGGACAAGCAGAAGATAAAGAGGTTTCAAGAAGGTCTTTGATCATCAATCCATAAAAAGTTATTCAAGAAAAACCAAGCTCATTTGTCATACAACCTCAAACTTTTGTGAGGCAATGTTACAGAGAACAGCTACACAAAATACCATATGGTGCCACTGAATGATCACTGGTCTGACCTAATGTCCAAGTCCTGTTAAATTTAAAATTTTACATATTTATAGAGTTCATGTTTATTTATATAAACATAAATATATTACCTACAGTCAAGATTAGAAGATTTGAAACGGTTTGAACCATACTATTATATAAATATCATTAAAAATGAACAAAACTCCATTATGACACAGATTTACAAATATGCCGAACTGACCCCTGCTACATGATATATAACACAGAACGGAAAAAGAGTCAAATTTCCCAATATCAGAATTATGAAGGTGATCTACTGCAGAATAAACTTTCCTAAGCACAGGGCTGCTTCAAAGTATCCCAGAGTTCTAGAGTGGAAGGGACCCCAGAGATCCCCTAGGCCAGAAGCTTCATGGTACAGATCTGAAGAGTGAGGTATAGCTGGTCCTGACATCACACAAGTCATCAGCAATGGAGCTGGGCTTTGAAAGGCAAGTGTGACTCAGACTAGGTTTTCAAATCCAAAGCTTTACTATAGTCATACTGGTGATAACCTAGGGGCTCTTGACTTTTTCCTCTATAAGTTATTTATATTTTTATGAAATATGAAAATGACTAAAGGGCATGGACTTGTGCCCCAAGTCCCCAAACACTCAAATTTGCATTTATTCCTTCAAACATGAATGAGGGAATGGAAGTCCAACGAAAGAAGAATGATTTTACAACAAGGCTGGTAGTAAACGTAAGGACCACATTCCAACAATTCACTGCTTAGGCCAGAAGAAACCAGGAAACAAGGTCTAAGTCTAGAAATGATGCAGAGGAAAGGAAGTAAGCAACATGAATATTCCTAAGGTAAGTACACACAAGTACCCCAGAGCAGAGACTCAAGCAGGATGACAGAAGGCATAGACTTTCAGCCTCTCAGAGCTTTGAGGATTGAGTTCCATGAGGCAAAGGGGTAATAAATGGTAAAGAGAGGAAAATCAGAAAAACTGGGGCAGATCACTGAGGAACAGATGTAGAAGAAAAACAGACTTGGGGAAGAACATGAAAACTGTAGAGCCCTGAATCTTACTGTAAGTACATACAAAGCACTCTGATGAAATGTACTATGCTGGACACTGAAGACACCAAGATAAACAAAGAAAGACAATCCCTGTCCTCAAGAAGCTTTTGTAATTGACTGTGAAAGGACACAAGAAAATTACTGATGTTGAAAAGAATGATTAAAAAAAGGACACAGGGAAAGAGTGGAAGAGTAATGAGATTTCACAGAACACTTTAGAATGATAGGAGGAGCTAAGAGAAAGAAGAGTCTCAGTCTATAAAGAAAAGGACAACTTTCAAGTAATGATGTAATATCAGGCAAAAGACTGGTTACAAATGTCTATAATTGGAAGAGCAAGTGTCCAACACCATTTGCTGGCTCAAGGAAGGGAACAGTACTGCTGAAAAAGAAGGAGAAAAAAGAAGACAATGAATTCCTAAAGTGCCTGGGAAGAGAAACCCTTTACAAAGACAACAGAAAAAACACCTTTTGAGGATTAAGCAATGATTAATACAAAGACATGGAAAAAAAGGCCAAAAGGAACCTCCTAGTTAGAGATTTCTAAAACAAGAAAATGTGTCTGAGCTTAAAAAAAATTCAGCTAGCCCTTGGAAGTTTAGAGACGAGAAAGAAAGAAAAAAGAGATTTCACACTGCGTTCAATCAGAATTTATGTGGGATTTAAAACCTATGTGAACAGAAACACAGTAGACAAAACAGGAAAAATATACACTAACTAGACATATGAGGGCCAACATTTATGTTAGTTACATTTGCAATGTACATGCAGTCCTAAGCTGACATTTGTGTGTGTGTGCAAAGTAGAATTAATCTAACAACAATCAGAACAAATTTACTATCAGATTTTTACCGCATTTAAAAATCAATTATTAAAAATATTTGCTTGCTTCAGCACCTCAGGTTCTCATGCCTGGGTAATGCTGGTCTTACTAGCTGCTTTTTATGTTGAACATGCTCGGTTCTAAATTACTTAAAGACAAACGAATCCTTTTTCATTGGAGTTTATGAGCACTGCTCCTGTCACCTGTTTGGGTGCTGACATTCCAGAATGGAAGATGGGCCTGGGCTGTGTGTGTGTAGAACACCCTCACATCTTGAGGGGCTAGCAGCTCGACGAATGGGGAAGATGCCAAGGAAGTCTTCTTACAGTTCAGAATAAGAGTGGCCTGCTCTGAAACGTGGACCAACTTTCCCGACAGAAACGAAAAAACTGCCACAAAGGTATCCTGTCAAAGACATTTTAAAAGTACAAACATCTAACCTCTACGAGCAATAGCCACCAGAGGGTAATTTTCTTTTACAACTCACAACAAACAGTAACAAAATTAATTTTATAAAATTCTAAAATAGCACTATAACATTTGGGTTGTCTGACATCTCAATCCTCAAACGGCCAAACCATCATTTTTTGCATGGACCTATGACTTCAATGGTGCAAGGACTCAAGATGTAGAAGCTAACACACATCAGTAACTCACCCATAAGCTGCTCCCCGGGAGAGTTCCTTTGGGCATTGAAAGGTTACATGGCTTGCCCATGGTCACACCGTATGTATCAGAGGCAGGCCAGGTTCTATTCTGTCCCAGAACTGTTGGCCCTCTATCTACCATGTGACCCTGGCCAAACAATATATCTAAGTCTTAAAGTAATCTGTCTCTGAATGTCACACCCATGTCCAGATCCCTCCATGTGCTTGGTCTGCCTTCTCTCTACTTAACACTTTAACACTTGGCTCTGAGGACTAAGCAGCTGTCATCTTTCACTGTTAGATCCCTCAGTTGCCTCACATGTGCTTGCCTCCCCAGCCCCTACTCCTACTCCTATAACACTCTGTTTAAAAGGCCCATATAGGGTACCCAGTAAACGCTTGTTGAAGGGTCTCTGCTATATTAAGAGGGTAGCACTAAATTCATTACTTTTATTTTAAGCTGAAACCGGGCTATGATTTCAAAGCACCATAGTGGTGTTCACCGATTTCTAGAATATCAAACAATGTACAAGGGAAGGGAAGGCTCAGGATTTTGTTTAATGTGAAAAGATTCTCTATAAAGAAATACAGCCTCATCTGTTATCTTTGAGGACAAAGCAATGGCTAGAAACTCGCTTGTTCTAGAAATACAGTTTGCAAAAGTCTGAAGAATAAGGTAACTAAGATAGCCATAAATGAAAATGACTCTAATAGCAGCATAAAACCCAGCTGTGAAATGAAGACAATGGCCACCTGGTGGAAATGACTTTTCTCCATTTCACTTTGGAATGAACTTGGGCATAAATACTACAGACATATGAACCACACTGTAACCAAAACAAATTGGCCACTGCAAGATGCTCTGGGCATTTAGACTCTCTCTGAGACAATGGCAGAAGTACCTTTACCTGGGCTTTCTCCCATTATCTACCTCAGATTACAATTCTTAAAACATGCAGTTTATTCTACTGTAAAAACCTACTTGTAGATTAAGTCCTGGGAAGATAGTAGAGAAGGACGGGGCAAATTCTGGACCACTTACTGTGTTTTTAGACGTGTGTTCGGAAGCGATGGTAGCCAGCTCCTCAAGGCTATACCTAGTCACATCTGCTTGGTGGGCTCCATTTGGTCTGAGAATCTGGAAAAACTCATTGTTGGCTGAGAACAACAGAAAAACGTAAGTGCTATGATGAAGATGTTAACAGTTTCTACAACCGACTCTTTAAGTTGCATTTTCTTTTATAAGATGGTTTGAAGTTATAATAAGACCATCCTATTACATGTTAAATTTGCTATATATAGTGATTTATGCATTAGAAACCTATAAACCCAGTGATATTATGTTTAAAGCAAATGTACAAACTGAATTTTGAGGGTTTCTTCAATAGAAAGATTTCCTCATGAAAATTTCCTAGATCATACAAAGAACATACCACAAACACATTTAGGTAGCAACCCCACAAATTTCCAGAAAAAGAAAATAGGCAGTGTACATTGCTAAAAGAGAAATCTATTATTTTTGCTGCTGGAATTAGCATAGAGTATCTGTAAAGATGCAAAAGTTATAGGTATAGACTAGAGCGTGTACCTTAAGAACATTTTGAGGAAAAAAACAGAGAGAAAATAAGAAAGAGTGGTACTGGCAGTTTATTTTTTATATGATTATTAATTAACTGCAGTTCTATTTAAAAAAGGATTTTGTACTTGATCAAATGTAAATTAAAAATCAGTATTTCTTAAAAAAAAATCTCATCTTTTGTCAGACAAATTACTTTATATTAATCATGATCTTACTCTTCCAATGCACTTAATGAAAGGAATGCATTTGGTTTATTCTGTACATTCTAAACCCATGGCAACAACTCTGGTGGAGCTGGGGCTTACAATGAGCTGGCCCAACTATTCACTTTTATCTTGAGTCAGCTCTACCTTGAACGCTGTGCACGCAGCGAAGGGCGTAGTTGAGGGCATCAAGAACGCTTGGTTTATGACTTCTCTCGGAGGGGAAATACTTTTTCATCTCTCGGACCACCATCATAAGTTCTTCAGAAGTCTTGTTGCGATCCTGCTGCTCGCTGAAAGACAGTAAGAGGTAAAGTTTCACCTTCATAAGATGTTTCTCTTCCTTGACGAATGGACGTTTCATCACTGATGGTGGACTTGCTTTCTTTTTCTCTCCCCTTCCTCCTGGCTTCCACTATTTTGCTGCTGGTCACTAGCCTCCATTTCCTACTATTGACTTTTCACGTCTATTCCTTATTAGTTTACTTTTCCCAGATCTTCACATCCCACAAGACATATTCCCATCTCAATCCCAGGTTTGTCTTCTCTAACGATAAAAACTTGGTCTTTTTTGCTCTTTCCTCTTGGATGATGAACGAAAATTGGTCAAAATAAACACGAACTCACCTGATGCTGTCGGCACCAGCTTTGCCTTGCCGTTTGAAGCCTTGTTTCCACATCTCATTGGATTCTTTATCAAGGGAATCTGTCCCACTGGACTCTGGTCCATTAAATTCGTTTCCACTGGAGTCATTGCCATCGGACTTACCGCTCTGCATTTCTAGGCCTTCACAATGGACGTTCTTCTCTGGCTTCTAAATACCGATGGCTCTAAGTAAATGTGTTCTCTATTTTGGAATCAGTAATGATGATGATCCAGTTCTCATTTTGGTCCATGCCATCACCTAACACAACATTTTCTGTTACAGCTGACTGGTGAAATGCAAGATGAGTAACTAATTGTTGCCATTCACTGGGGGGAAATTTTTTCTGGACTCCCTATTTTCCATAAAAAGGAACTTCAGTGCCTTATTGTTTCACTAAAGTGTAACAACTTCAATCTGAAAAAAAAAATCAAAGAAAAGTTGGGAAGTAAAACATGCATTTAACACCTGAAACCAAGATGAAAATGTCAGTGGCTCCCCTCAGAGACACAGATGAGCATTCAACTTCATAGGATCATGAGATCTTGGAGTGAGGAGGACCTTAAAGGCCTAATCTCACCACTTTATAGATGAGGAAACTAATGCCCCAAGAGATGCAGCAACTTTGCCAATGTCACTTAGCTAGTAAAGAGCAGGTTTGGGATTCAAACCCAGGTCCTGGGACCAAATCCAGCATCCTTTCCATTGTACCAGAGTGTCTTTTTTCATTAGTAGTCTGGGTTTGGACCCAGGTCACCTACTCCAAATTCAGTGCTCGTTACACTCACTACCAGTCCCATGAAGCCAGTGTCCACTAAGCATCTACTGTGACACTGTGCCAGAAGGTGGGGATACAAAGATGAAACAGGAAAATAGCCCTTGCCTTCAAAGATGTGTGTGCGGTTAAGTATTTGGGGTCTGAACTTGCGATTTCACTGGCAGAGGCGACGCTAGAAGGTATACATTTAGTATTTGGTCAGCGGTCAAGAGAGCTGCTTAGGGGTACTGCAAAGTTAAGTACTTGTCAGAAGGTCACACAAACCTGTCGTTGAGTCAGTTCAGTCGTGTCTGACTCTTTGTGACCCCATTTGGGGTTTTCCTGGTAAACATAGTGAAGTGGTTTGCCAGTTCCTTCTCCAGCTCATTTTACAGATGAGGAAACTAAGGCAAACAGGGTAAAGTGACTTGCCCAGGGTCAGTCAGCAAGTAAGTGTCTGAGGCCAGATTTGAACTCAGGAAGATGAGTCTTCCTGATTCCAGGCCTGTTGCTCTATCTACTACACCATTTGGCTGCCCCCCACTCTAGGTGACATGCAACTACTGTGTGTCACAGGCAGGATTTGAACCCAGATCTTGGAATCATAGCAAAAATCTAGAGCTGAAGGGGACCTCTGAGGTCATCTAGTACAACTCCTCCATCTTATGAATGAATAACAATAGCATTTATTAAGTACTTCCTCTGTGCCAGGCATTATGCTAAATGATGGGATAGTGTGCTCACAACAGCACAGAAGCTGAGACTCATGGATGTTAAAAGTGTGCCCAGCGTCCCACAGGGAGTCAGTGTCGCAAGTGTGACTTGAAATGTCATCACCTGGCTCCAGCATTTCTTTATCCTCCACTCCAGGCTGCCAACAGAGAAGCAATCGGGAAAGGCTTCCCACAGGACACCACACCCATACAACCCTCCTCCAAACTCCCCTATTTCTGCTGAGGGCCCCCTGGACCTTCCAGTAACTGAGATTTTCCATGTGGAGTCATGCTTGTCTTTCCTTTCCCAATTCCCATATCCAATTAGTTGCCAACTCTTGTCAATTCTAACTCCACAAGATCTCACGCATCCATCCTCCTGATCACAAGATCACTGATTTACAGGGATCTTGGAGGCCATGTGGAGGCAGCCAGGTGGCTCAGTGGATACAGCACTGGCCCTGGAGTCAGAAGACCTGAGTTCAAGTCTGGCCTGAGACACTTCCTGGCTATGTGACTCTGGGCAAGTCACTTAACCTCTGTTTTCCTTAATCCACTGGCGAAGGAAATGGCAAAATACTCCAGTATCTCTGCCAAGAAAACCCCAGGGACAGAATTGGCGTGCTATGGTCCACAGGGTCAGGAAGAGTCAGACATGACTGAACAACAACAGAGATCATCTAATCCAACACCCTCAGTTTAAAGATAAGCAAAGTACAGAATAGTTAAGTGACTTTGATTTGAAACCAGATCTTCCTGTCTCCAAATCCATCAGGCTCTCTCTATCCTTTTCACTGGCCATCCTTTCTCATTTCCCCACTCTTGGTTTTCTTCAAACTCTGAGAGCTTTCCTGGTCCTCCCCTCCCCACTCCTTCCTTCTGAAATTACCTCCCCTTCACACTCTCTACATGGTGTACGTACACAGTCGTGGGCATGATGCCTCTCTGCATCAGACTGGGAGCTCTCTGAAATAAAGCCTCAATGCTTAGCTCCTGGAGGGTAGGGGCTATCTGTGGCCTCTCCTTGTATCCCTGGCACTTAGCACAGAGTCTGGCACATAGCAGGCACTCAATAAAGGCTCAATGCCTGGCTCTTGGAGGGTAGGGTCTGTCTGTTGCCTTTCTTTGTATCCCTGGCACTTAGCACTGAGCCTGGCACACAGTAGGCACTTAATAAAGGTTCAGTGCTTGGCCCCTGGAGGGTAGGGACTGCTGCCTTTCTTTGTAT